TATTAAGGTAGTTTGTTGTTGTAATATTCTCTTTTTTAATATCAACATTCATGTCTCCAACAAGTATTATCTCTTGTTTTTTGTTTATATTATTTATTGTTTCATCAAGTTCTGTAATGAAAGCATTAACGTTAAGGGAAGGGGGTCGATAAACAGATATAAGGGAAATCATATTATTGTTTACGTTTAAATCTACTCTTATATTTTCAAATGATTGTGTTTGCAATGGAATTTGAGTGTAGGTGAGACTATCTTTAATGTAAACCATTACACCGCCTCCTCCTCTACAATTTCCATCCTCATCTTTTCTATTTATAAAGAGAGAATTAAACCCATTTATCTTGAACAGGTCACTTTCGGCATCAGATATATTTGTTTCGACAAAGATTATAAGTTGTATGTGGTTAATTATTTTATATATTGTTGCAAGGAATGTGGAAAAGTTTTTCCGTAATGAGCGAATGTTCATATAAATTAACGACAACGGATAACTTAGTATCATTGGACAAATTTCATTGAAATTGCTTAAAATTTTGTTTGGAATATTCATATTTATAGTTTATTTTTGTATTTAATTAAAGGATTTGTTTTTTCTTTTTTTTTCTTTTACATATTTAATATTTTATTTTACTTGAGATTTTTGAAAGATTTTACGTATGTATTATAAAGTAATTAAATTTGTGATGTGATAATATCAATATCTGCAGGGCTGTTAATGACTATTGCTGTATTATTTTCAATTTTTCGTGCAAAAATACATCCATTTTTTACCCAAACAAACTTCCAATTACATTCTTTTGCTTTTGTTTTAGTTTGCCACAAAAGATGCCGGTTATAAGGGGTTAATTGGTCATTTACAAATATATAGTTGTTGTTAGTTGTGGATGTGGTGGTATCAGTATTTTCCTCATTTATTATGCTTGCATTTATTCTATGACCAGGGATTTTGTTTACTAACTCTTTCTTTTTGTTCATGGAAGAGAATTCGCATATTATTCTGTTTTGTTTATTGATACGATACACATTGTTAATATCATTGTGTGTGATATCAACATCTACCGACGACGCAATTTTTTTAACAACGTCTACTGCACTGATTTCTCTATTTTGCACATTATTAATTTCAATGTTGTTGCCTATGATTTGCTGTTCTAGTTTATTCATTCGTTTTCCCATTTCATTTATAACCTTCTCATTTTCAGTATTTTTGCTGTATAGGTCACTGACCTGAGTAGTTAGGTTTGTAATAGCATTTGACATCGTTGCAAGAGCACTTTGTATCTCTTCCTTAATTTGTACTTGAAACATATTCATATTACATACCATGGTTTGCATTGTTGTTTTGATCTCATTTATATCTGTTTGGACAGAGCATAATTTGTTATTGAGAGTATTTAGGGAAAGATAATCTTTAAAGCGTTTTGATCTCTCTTCGTGATTGTCATCGTCCATTTCACGTTGTTGTTTTTGCTGGGGATTCCCTAAATAAGCATCTTCACCTTTGTTTTGTTGTTTGTCATCATCAACGGATTGTGGGGGGTTTGGTAATTTTACTTTTCTGCAATTGTGACACTTCCAATTACTCTTTCTCTCAACAGTCATGCTGTCATATGAACTTTTACTTATAGACGAACAAGGGGCAAAGTGATAGTTGGATTTGCAGTTTAAACACTTTACAAAATCACCCGAAGTTGGGAGAGACTTTTTACATTCGTCGCAGAGCGAACTCATAATTTTTGATTTTTATGCTTTTTTTATGTTAATGCAAGAAAAGGAAAAAAAAGTTTGGTTTGGCTTTTATTTGATAGTTTTAAACCTTTTATTAATATTTAGTTGATTTTTTTAACTTTTTATATATTTTTTTACACTATATTGTATAGAATTTTTTTGTTGTTTTATTGGTAAATTTTTTATATTTAACACTTCACTTGAAACCACTAAAAACTGCGATTTTCTAGAGAACTCTTGATAACACGTCCGTTCACAATGAAAGTTGACGATCTATCTATCTATCTATCTATCTATCTATCTATCTATCTATCTATCTATCTATCTATCTATCTATCTATCTATCTATCTATCTATCTATCTATCTATCTATCTATCTATCTATCTATCTATCTATCTATCTATCTATCTATCTATCTATCTATCTATCTATCTATCTATCTATCTATCTATCTATCTATCTATCTATCTATCTATCTATCTATCTATCTATCTATCTATCTATCTATCTATCTATCTATCTATCTATCTATCTATCTATCTATCTATCTATCTATCTATCTATCTATCTATCTATCTATCTATCTATCTATCTATCTATCTATCTATCTATCTATCTATCTATCTATCTATCTATCTATCTATCTATCTATCTATCTATCTATCTATCTATCTATCTATCTATCTATCTATCTATCTATCTATCTATCTATCTATCTATCTATCTATCTATCTATCTATCTATCTATCTATCTATCTATCTATCTATCTATCTATCTATCTATCTATCTATCTATCTATCTATCTATCTATCTATCTATCTATCTATCTATCTATCTATCTATCTATCTATCTATCTATCTATCATCTATCTATCTATCTATCTATCTATCTATCTATCTATCTATCTATCTATCTATCTATCTATCTATCTATCTATCTATCTATCTATCTATCTATCTATCTATCTATCTATCTATCTATCTATCTATCTATCTATCTATCTATCTATCTATCTATCTATCTATCTATCTATCTATCTATCTATCTATCTATCTATCTATCTATCTATCTATCTATCTATCTATCTATCTATCTATCTATCTATCTATCTATCTATCTATCTATCTATCTATCTATCTATCTATCTATCTATCTATCTATCTATCTATCTATCTATCTATCTATCTATCTATCTATCTATCTATCTATCTATCTATCTATCTATCTATCTATCTATCTATCTATCTATCTATCTATCTATCTATCTATCTATCTATCTATCTATCTATCTATCTATCTATCTATCTATCTATCTATCTATCTATCTATCTATCTATCTATCTATCTATCTATCTATCTATCTATCTATCTATCTATCTATCTATCTATCTATCTATCTATCTATCTATCTATCTATCTATCTATCTATCTATCTATCTATCTATCTATCTATCTATCTATCTATCTATCTATCTATCTATCTATCTATCTATCTATCTATCTATCTATCTATCTATCTATCTATCTATCTATCTATCTATCTATCTATCTATCTATCTATCTATCTATCTATCTATCTATCTATCTATCTATCTATCTATCTATCTATCTATCTATCTATCTATCTATCTATCTATCTATCTATATCTATCTATCTATCTATCTATCTATCTATCTATCTATCTATCTATCTATCTATCTATCTATCTATCTATCTATCTATCTATCTATCTATCTATCTATCTATCTATCTATCTATCTATCTATCTATCTATCTATCTATCTATCTATCTATCTATTCTATCTATCTATCTATCTATCTATCTATCTATCTATCTAATCTATCTATCTATCTATCTATCTATCTATCTATCTATCTATCTATCTTCTATCTATCTATCTATCTATCTATCTATCTATCTATCTATCTATCTATCTATCTATCTATCTATCTCTATCTATCTATCTATCTATCTATCTAATCTATCGATCTATCTATCTATCTATCTATCTATCTATCTATCTATCTATCTATCTATCTATCTATCTATCTATCTATCTATCTATCTATCTATCTATCTATCTATCTATCTATCTATATATCTATCTATCTATCTATCTATCTATCTATCTATCTATCTATCTATCTATCTATCTATCTTATCGATCTATCTATCTAATCTATCTATCTAGCTATATCTATCTATCTATCTATCTATCTTCTATCTATCTATCTATCTATTCTATCTAATCTATCGATCTATCTATCTATCTATCTATCTATCTAAATCTATCTAGCTATCTATCTAGTCTAGCTATCTACTATCTATCTAATCTATCTATCCTATCTATCTATCTATCTATCTATCTATCTATCTATCTATCTAGCGAATACTATGATCTTATCTATTATCTATCTATCTATCTACGATCTATCTATCTATCTATCTATCTATCTATCTATCTATCTATCTATCTATCTATCTATCTATCTATCTATCTATCTATCTATCTATCTATCTACAAGATTATAAAAGGTGAACCGCGTTGGAAATATGCAGCTTATTCAATAAAAGACACTTTTTCAAAATTAAATATTTAATACAAAATATAAAACAATTAACTTCATATGCAAAAACCTTCATTTTACAATTAATTGTGATAACAACTTTGTTAAATTAACATCATCAAGATGGCACCTTATTACTATCATCATCTGATATTTCTATAATATCTATTTTGGGTTCAATTAGTATGCAATCATCATCATCACTTTCATTTGTGGTTATTTCCGAAGTTGGTTCAATATTTTTGCTCTCAGTTGCACTGCTTCTTAGAACTTTTGTTTCGGTGGTCGAAACTTTTCGCTTTTTAATTGATCTTTTTAAATTGTCAGACATTTGAATGTATGTTTTCAGGGCAGAATGTATATTGGAATTTACAATAACGGCAAGAAAATTTATTGTTTAACAAGAAATTTTTATTTTGTTTTAAAAATTTGTTATTTTTTTTTAATTGAAACGTTGACAAAAAGGAATTAGATAACAATTTGACAATAAAAAGTACAGTGGGAGCATTCGGTTGAATAACTAAAGAATGAAATTGATTATAATTAAAACAAATATTTGTTTGTAACTTAATTTGTATATTACATTTTGTACATTTATTCCATTAGTAACAAATACAAAAAATGTTTAATATTAATTGGTATTTAATAATTTAATACTAAAATTAGTAACTAAATTATTAGAATTTTAAAGCAATTAACAAAACAAAAATATGTATTCTAAAATATAACCTATAAACATAAAAATAAAGGGAATAAAGAACTAATTAATGAAAAATATATAAAATAAAAAAAGTTCCAAAACAGAAATTTAACTGCGATTGAGTATTGTATGTAGTTTGGGACCCCATTTACCATAAGGATCTTTGGGTAAAATGAATATATCATTACACCACGTATAACCAATAACACGATTTTCAATGATTTTCTTAAATGCCGGATTTTCGTGTAGTAAATCACGATAGTTATCATTCGAAACAATGGCAGCATCCAATTCAAAAGCTAATTGTAGAACAAATCTGTAATAACAATAAATCGAAAAATAAATACAAATTTTTAAATATATAGAAATTTTCCAAAATTAACCTATCATCGTAGCTGGTACTCGTTAGACCAGGCAAGTTTTTACAGGGTGTTTGTACAATTTTTCCCGCCTTGTGTAATCTTTCCAATTCTTCGGGATCTGTAGATTTACTTTTATTCATACGAAACTGTGGTATTACGGCCTTAACCTCATGACCCATTCTCTCAAAATATTCTATGGCAATTTTTAAACCTTTAACGGAAAATGCCTGATCTAAACCATGTCTAAATTTAAGAAAAAATTGAATTGTAATAAATAAAAAAAAATTAAATGTTAAGTTTTTTCGCCTATTAGACGAATAGTTAAATCATAAGCATAGGGTTTATAGTTTTAGACAAAGAATAAATGTTTTAGAGTTAATTGTTCTATTCTTGCCAGAGTCCTGTATATAATAATTGAAATTTAAAATTCTTTTTATACTCTTCATCTTCGAGAGGAGAGTCGATTAAGTCATTTCCGTGTGCATGCTTGTTAAAGACAATTATCTGAAGACCGCAGATATCTTCGTGATCCAAATTTTCAATAGTTCTGTCAAACATCCTTTTATCTATCTATCTATCTATCTATCTATCTATCTATCTATCTATCTATCTATCTATCTATCTATCTATCTATCTATCTATCTATCTATCTATCTATCTATCTATCTATCTATCTATCTATCTATCTATCTATCTATCTATCTATCTATCTATCTATCTATCTATCTATCTATCTATCTATCTATCTATATATCTATCTATCTATCTATCTATCTATCTATCTATCTATCTATCTATCTATCTATCTATCTATCTATCTATCTATCTATCTATCTATCTATCTATCTATCTATCTATCTATCTATCTATCTATCTATCTATCTATCTATCTATCTATCTATCTATCTATCTATCATATCTATCTATCTATCTATCTATCTATCTATCTATCTATCTATCTAGCTATCTATCTATCTATCTATCTATCTATCTATCTATCTATCTATCTATCTATCTATCTATCTATCTATCTATCTATCTATCTACTATCTATCTATCTATCTATTCTATCTATCTATCTATCTATCTATCTATCTATCTATCTATCTATCTATCTATCTATCTATCTATCTATCTATCTATCTATCTATCTATCTATCTATCTATCTATCTATCTATCTATCTATCTATCTATCTATCTATCTATCTATCTATCTATCTATCTATCTATCTAGAGAGAACACTCTAATGAATAGACAAGTAAATTCTCAATAGACAAAGCTTGGAGCCGTCATAGAGTAGTTCACACACTATTCTATAGACTAGACCATTGACTAGTTGATAGAATAATTAGTCGATTAGTCCATAAAAGTTTCAATAGACTGCTACATAGTATGATCAATAGACTAGCATATGGACTAGACCATTGACCATTTCATTGAATAGTCAGTTTATTAGTCAATGGACTTGTCAATAGATGAATCTAAAGTAAATTTATTAAACTTTAAAATATTGCTCAATGGTTCAAAGCTTTATCATCGTATCCCTTTATATTCATGCTGCGTAGATTAGTATTTCAAATAACTTATCAATATTATAATATAATAAAAAAAACACTTACTTGAAAGCCACATTACTACCATCTATAATTACCATCCGTTTGCCTTCGGTTAATTCTTCATTTGCTCCGGGATTATAGGCATTTTCATTATAGGCATTTAATTGTTTCGTTTCACTGCGTGTAAACAGATTATTATTTGTGCGCAATCTATTGACAGGTGTTGTAGGAGTATTATCACTTATTTTCAAAATCTACAAAAAAAACAATAAATATATGTGATGTAAGTGATTAAAATTCTAAAAGAAATCCACCCATAATTACCTTATTTGGCGGTATCGTATCATCTACTATGGGTATAAAATCCATTTTATTCGATTCACCTACAAAAATAACCGAATCATCATCTAAATCGTTAGATTTACGTTTTAAAGTTGAATCCTGATCATCTAGATTAATAATCTCATCATCACAAGTTGTTTCTTTCAAACGTACAGTTCTATAGGAATTTTCCTTTAAGGTACTTAACTTAGTGTAATTGGTAAAGGTATCTGTGGAATTAATCGATTCAATGCCAGATCTACGACCAACATCTAGGAAAAATGGTAAATTTTCGTCGTCTTTATTCAAATTATTATTATCTTTAGTTGAACTTTTAACTATAGAGGCATATGTGGAAGAGGATTTTTTATTATGACAAGGAGTGGAAGAGACACGATGTTTAAAGGAATTTATGAGTGATTGATAATTAGTAGAACCATCACTAGTTGAGGGTATATCATCATCACCGTCATTATCATCTATTGTTATTTCTTCTAAGGTTGGTTCGATCACAATACAATCGTCATCATCATCATCATTATTATTATTCTCCTCTTTCTTTTTTGCAACCTCAACTAAAGATATATCACTCTCCGAACGTATTTCTCCCTCTTCCAAGGTTGTAGTAACATTTTGTGAATTGTTCTTTCTATGTTTGTTTAATTTTCTCTTTGAAATATTATTATTATTACTGTTATTGATCAAACGTTTGCTGCCCTTTTTATGCGATGAAATCTTTTTCGGTGTAACTGTTCTACTTGTCCCGTTGTCATTGACTAAGTATACACTGCGTCTAACTAATCTTCTCTGTAAGTGTAAATAATTTAAAAAAAAATATGTATATTTATTGTTAATTACATTCAAAATTGTATATTTTTCTTTTACTCTTAACTTACAGCCTGGTCATCAACGATTTTTTTAAATCTATTCACTTTACCACCTGCATTTCTCCATGGACTACGTTTTAAATGATTTTTCGGTGATTCTTGTTTTCTACTATCATGACGACTGGTTGAGGGTCTTTGATCTGTTTGACACTTTAAGATGTTTTGGAAAGAAGATAAATTGTAGAATATATTTAAAATAAATTGAATTAATACTTGAAGTTATACTCGTCAGTTTTGCAGCTTTAAGTCTGAATTTTTCAGATATCGTAATCAAAAAACTGTAACGTTTTTATTATAAGAACTGCAAATCTGCCGGGCACTTGTACAAAGTAAATAATAAAAATAAAATACTTACCTTTAGAAAACAAATTGAAATACTTACAAATAGAAATTAAAGAATAGTCTTTTTAATGGATTTTTTTTTGTTGATATTTCTACTAAACGATAATAATATTAGTTAACCAAATCGGTAGATTTACGTTTGAAAGTTGAATCTTGATCATATAAATTAATAATTTCATTACAAGTTGTTTCTGTGATGCAACGTGCGATTCTGTGGAAATTTTTACTGAGTTTAATGTAGTTGGTAAAAGTGTATGATTAATTAATCTAGTTAATGCCGAATCTACCACCAACATCTTGGAAAAAGAGGCCGCTAGTACTCCACAAGCGACCTTGGACATCATTATTTATCTGTCTAGATCTACTTGATCATGGAAACTCCTATTGTGGAATTATAGATCATAGAATTACGACTTTAGACTTCGGGAAAACATTTATAATGGAATTTCCAACAGGGGACAATTGGCTTATATCTGATAGACTGTTTAAAGGGAGCAGTTTTTACCGACGGATCCATGATGAATATTGGCATGGATGCCGGTGTCCATATCGCTGATGCCTAGCAATCTGAAAAACGACGGAACTGATACGTAATCATATCGATTTAGGGTCGGTTGTGACAATGCATAGTAATGAGGTTGCGAACGATCCAGCAAGTCTAGGTTCGAACCTTGACATAGATGATAGGCATAGAGCAGTTATGCCATCTGTCATCTGCCACTATTATGAGTTGACCGGGAGAATCGGTGATATATTCAAGAAGTTTCGGAATATCCAAGGTCTTATGGATATGCGCAGGGCAATTATGGCCTTTGTCAGTCAGTTGGTCTGTAATTTGTCAGACTATGCGCAAATGGAAAGGAGGTAGAGACGATTAAGCACTTAATTTGCACTGTCCTAGAACACAAAATGTCACGTTGAAAAGGCTGGGAACTGGGGGAAATTGCGGGATAAGGGGAATTAGTAATATCTTCGACTGGATTTTATAGGGATATACATCTGCCTATCTATCTATCTATCTATCTATCTATCTATCTATCTATCTATCTATCTATCTATCTATCTATCTATCTATCTATCTATCTATCTATCTATCTATCTATCTATCCATCTATCTATCTATCTATCTATCTATCTATCTATCTATCTATCTATCTATCTATCTATCTATCTATCTATCTTTCTATCTATCTATATATCTATCCATCTATCTATCTATCTATCTATCTATCTATCTATCTATCTATCTATCTATCTATCTATCTATCTATCTATCTATCTATCTATCTATCTATCTATCTATCTATCATCCCTTTATATGCTCTTTTGTGGGATAAAAAGAAGATTGGATACTTCTCAGAAGATTAGCTTCTAACCAATAGACTTTTTTCGATTTGTTTCAGGCGGCAAAAGCGTTGGACACAGCACTCAACTGCCCTAAAAAAGTATGACAAATACTCTCTAATCAGATGCCAAGACTGGCGAGGTTTGAGAAAGAGCCAAAAAGACATCCTCAAGTGAAGACACACCAGAGAACATTTCATTTTTTACAAGCTTCCTAAGAATGCTGCAAGTAAGCGAGACGAGGTAGATCGTATCAAATCGCTTAAATGGAGAAAGGTAGCCGATCAAAAACACCGCTTAGGATCCTCAACAAGCACTACTACATCCGCTAGGCGACCGTTAAACGATGAACAGTGGTGTAGAAAATAAAGTAGAGAGAAATAGGTCTCTAACTACTAAAAACTTATAATGAAATTTCTCATGGGAAAAGAGGAACTGTTGTCGAGTTTAGATTTTGAGTTTGAAATTCATGGGTTTAGCTGGGGCGCGGCTAGATGTTTACAAATTAGGGCACCTCGGTTATGTACAATTCTTGAAACGATCATATATTTGACCTTTGTAGCAAGATAAGATCATAGTGGCTATAAAGGATATCTTTTATCTTTGGAGACATTTGTTAGATTCCAGTGAATAAGAGTTTCAATCATGAAAAAATCCAATGATATATTCAAAAATTTCTAAATATTTCAATTTGTTTTCTAAATACTTACCTGCTGATGTTAACAGTTCAAGCTTTATTACTTTCATTACATTAAATTACATGTATTACACAACAACATTTTTTAAATGTTGCAAAATTGCAAATATTTAAAGCGAACAAAATAATAAATACATATTTTGTATTTAAAACTGTTTACAATTTTGCAAAATGTTACAAAAATATTGCTGTGAATTAAAACTACAGATTGGTAATTTGTATTTATAACTATTTTTGTATATGGTATATATTTTGCATTATTTTGACTAGTAGTTACATTTATTTGATTTTTATATTTTTGGCATTTACAATTACACATTAAGAGAGTTATATATAAACATATAATAAGGAAGAAGAGCAAAATAACAGCAATAATATTGAACAATGAACTGGTATTTTATATATAGAAAAAGTGTAAATGTTTAAACCGAAAACTGTTTTTATTGTCCTTTAAAAATGAGTTAATTAAAGTATTTAAAAGCCATTAAGCAAACAGTAGGCTGAAATATATAACAAAGTTGTTATATAGCAAAAAAAAATGTTTTGATTAAATGCTATTAAAAATGTTAATATAATACTTTTGTTTGTAAATAGTTTAAAATTTAATACAGAAGATTAACTAATGTTAACTTGTTGTAATTGCAATAAAAAAACAAACATACTATAGGGATCTTTTTTTTTTTAATTTTTATAAAAATTTTATACTAATTTTATAATTTTCATACATTTTGATTGTATACTTTATGTGTTTGTTAAATATGTTAGCAATAAGCAAAAAATTGTTTCTGTAAACTAGAATTAATCTGGAACATTAGATTAATATTTATTTTAGTTTTTAAATATCAAGTTGTTTGTTTTGTTTGATTTGCTAAACAAAAATCTTTTAATATCAAAAAAAAAAAAAAATACTTGTTGTAAAAACATCACTTTTTTAAATTCTCTTTTTAAATTTATGGGCAAATCATTTTGTTTTAGTTTTAAGCATGTTTTCATTTATCTAACAATTTTCTAATTCTTTAAGTTCTTGTTCAATATTGGCACGTGCTATTTTGGCATATTTATTACTAAATTCAGGAGTTTGATAGATATCCAAGGCCAATAATGTGGTTAAAGTCTGTAATAATTAAAATTTTATTATTTATAAATTTTATTATTCAAAGTGTTAATGAAAACTCACTTTACGCCTTAACATATCGAAATTAGTTTTACCCGCTGTTGACCATTCTTGACGTGACAATTGTGCATAGTTTTTGTAAACATCTGGAGTTGAGCTAAAAGTTGATAAATGTTTTTAAAGTTTATTTATATAGATTTAAAGTTAATTGATTGTGCAATCTTGTTGTCATTGTTGAGCAAAAGTGATTTTGTTTTTAATTATATGTGAAATTCGCAAACTCGCAGGACTACTAGTTCAATATAATGGAATTCCTGCTATCCTACGGATTTTGAAACCTTTGCCACCTTCCACCCATAGCTGAGTATACCAGGATCAGCAATTGTAAGGAACTCCAATATCTCCCCTGATTTAGCTGTATCATAGAGGAATCATGGCAGTGGATCTAATTACCTATCTAATTACCTATCTATCTATCTATCTATCTATCTATCTATCTATCTATCTATCTATCTATCTATCTATCTATCTATCTATCTATCTATCTATCTATCTATCTATCTATCTATCTATCTATCTATCTATCTATCTATCTATCTATCTATCTATCTATCTATCTATCTATCTATCTATCTATCTATCTATCTATCTATCTATCTATCTATCTATCTATCTATCTATCTATCTATCTATCTATCTATCTATCTATCTTTCTATCTATCTTTCTATCTATCTTATCTATCTATCTATCTATCTATCTATCTATCTATCTATCTATCTATCTATCTATCTATCTATCTATCTATCTATCTATCTATCTATCTATCTATCTATCTATCTATCTATCTATCTATCTATCTATCTATCTATCTATCTATCTATCTATCTATCTATCTATCTATCTATCTATCTATCTATCTATCTATCTATCTATCTATCTATCTATCTATCTATCTATCTATCTATCTATCTATCTATCTATCTATCTATCTATCTATCTATCTATCTATCTATCTATCTATCTATCTATCTATCTATCTATCTATCTATCTATCTATCTATCTATCTATCTATCTATCTATCTATCTATCTATCTATCTATCTATCTATCTATCTATCTATCTATCTATCTATCTATCTATCTATCTATCTATTTATCTATCTATCTATCTATCTATCTATCTATCTATCTATCTATCTATCTATCTATCTATCTATCTATCTATCTATCTATCTATCTATCTATCTATCTATCTATCTATCTATCTATCTATCTATCTATCTATCTATCTATCTATCTATCTATCTATCTATATATCTATTGAATCGATACATTACAAACTTATATAAACATACATGCATACACATAAAACCCTATAACCATGGTGATAACATAATAAAATCATTTATCACAACTGTTTGTAACATTTTTACAAACAACATTCACACAAAACGGTTCAAATAAGACACTTTAATTACAACAACAATGTATATGTAAATAAAATATAAAACTGCACACGTAAGCTTATTATAAACACACAAAAAATCACTTGTTATAAAAATATACAATGCAATAACTTACGCCAATATTAATAAATCCAAATCCTGTAAAAATGCCATATCATAATCAATGTCACCATTAATTGCCTCAGTACTCTTTTCACCCAACAAACGACAGACCAACTGTTTCATATTTTCCTAAATTCAATTATATAAATGAAAACATAATTAAATCATTAAAAAAAAACAAATTAAGAAATACTTACATCTTCAATTAAACCATCTTGACAGAATTCTCGAAATATTTTACAATTATCTTGTACACAACTTCTTTCTAAATCAAATTCATAATATTGAAAAAAGGCAGCTAAGACAAGATGTGGTTTGGCTGTTTCCAATTCAATGCGTTTGGGTGCCAACATACAAGACCAATTGTGATAGACACGTTTGGTGACATCCTCATTGAGTTTACTGCGTATACGTTCATACCAGGAACGTATTGTATCTTCGGGTATGTCATAATGATTACAGGCCTTGGACCAAATGTCATATAAATCACAATTTGCCATAATTATGTAGGTTTGGTTTTTTTAACTTTGGGGGTTTTCTTTTTCTTTTAAGATTTTTTATATAAACTGGAGGTAGTCGTTATTAGGAAACTTTATTTTGTCTAAGATTTTTTTTTTTTAATTTTAACTATAAAAACTATTTTTAGTTGTAAAATTTTAATTTTTCTTCTGTTTGTTACCAACAAACTGTATGAGTCAAAAAATTTTCCTTAATTGTTAGTGGTTCCTTGTTTGTTAGAAAAATAGGGGTGGTGTTGGTGGTGTGATATGGAATGTTTGCAGCAGCTGCTATTGGGGGTGCATGAAATTAAGCTTAAAAGCTTATGAGCAGTTGCAGTAGTTGCCATATTGAAGAAACTACCACTAATTTATTAACACGAGTTATTTTTTAACGATAATAAGCTTTTTAAAATGTTAAACATACAGACAAGGAACAAATCGTTCTCATGGTTGTTATTTAACAATACCTTTTTTACGCGGATTAAGATAAAAGCTCTTAAACTTAAAATATAGTTTAGAATTGAGTTTAAATTCCAAAGTATTTTGAATGAGAATTCAGAATACAAACATTAACACTGAGCTATATATTAGACTATAAACTAGACTCTAGACTAGACTCTAGACTAGACTCTAGACTAGACTATAGACTATAAATGGACTACAATCTAGGCTATAGAATAGATGATGGACTAGACTATAGACTAAATTACAGGCTAGACTATAGATAAGACTATAGACTAGACTATATATTAAGACTTAACCTAGATTATAGATTAGACTATAGACTAAACTATAGATTAAACCATAAATGATACTATAGAACAGATTATAGACTAGACTATAGACGAGGCTATGCACTAGAATATAGACTAGATTATAGGCTAGACTGTAGATAAGACTATAGACTAGACTATAGATTAGACTTAACCTAGAATTTATATTATGCTATAGACTATAGATTAAACTATAAACTAATCTTGACTATAGACCAGACTATAGATTAAACTATAGACTAGACTATAGACTAGACTACAGACTAGACTATAGACTAGACTGTAGAATAGAATATAGACTAGACTATAGACTAGACTATAGACTAGACTATATACTAGACTATATACTAGACTATAGACTAGACTATAGACTAGACTATAGACTAGACTATATACTAGACTATAGACTAGACTATAGACTAGACTATAGACTAGACTATAGACTAGACTATAGACTAGACTATAAACTAGACTATAGACTAGACTATAGACTAGACTATAGACTAGACTATAGACTAGACTATAGACTAGACTATAGACTAGACTATAGACTAGACTATAGACTAGACTATAGACTAGACTATAAACTAGACTATAAACTAGACTATAAACTAGACTATAGACTAGACTATAGACTAGACTATAGACTAGACTATAGACTAGACTATAGACTAGACTATAGACTAGACTATAGACTAGACTATAGACTAGACTATAGACTAGACTATAGACTAGACTATAGACTAGACTATAGACTAGACTATAGACTAGACTATAGACTAGACTATAGACTAGACTATAGACTAGACTATAGACTAGACTATGACTAGACTATAGACTAGACTATAGACTAGACTATAGACTAGACTATAGACTAGACTATAGACTAGACTATAGACTAGACTATAGACTAGACTATAGACTAGACTATAGACTAGACTATAGACTAGACTATAGACTAGACTATAGACTAGACTATAGACTAGACTATAGACTAGACTATAGACTAGACTATAGACTAGACTATAGACTAGACTATAGACTAGACTATAGACTAGACTATAGACTAGACTATAGACTAGACTATAGACTAGACTATAGACTAGACTATAGACTAGACTATAGACTAGACTATAGACTAGACTATAGACTAGACTATAGACTAGACTATAGACTAGACTATAGACTAGACTATAGACTAGACTATAGACTAGACTATAGACTAGACTATAGACTAGACTATAGACTAGACTATAGACTAGACTATAGACTAGACTATAGACTAGACTATAGACTAGACTATAGACTAGACTATAGACTAGACTATAGACTAGACTATAGACTAGACTATAGACTAGACTATAGACTAGACTATAGACTAGACTATAGACTAGACTATAGACTAGACTATAGACTAGACTATAGACTAGACTATAGACTAGACTATAGACTAGACTATAGACTAGACTATAGACTAGACTATAGACTAGACTATAGACTAGACTATAGACTAGACTATAGACTAGACTATAGACTAGACTATAGTCTAGACTATAGACTAGACTATACTATTATTTATAAATTTTTTACTTCTAGAATTTTCAAAAATATCAATAAAAACTAGAGTTCATATAGACCCAAATCTGAGCATGTTGTATAATCATATAGTATGTTTATTAACTTACATTATTAGCATTATTTACCTCAGACTGGTGAGAATCAGCAGCAACCACATTACTGTCAACGGCATTGGCGGCTTTCGTACGCTTCGAACGCTTTGCATCACGAATCATTTTCTTTATACTTTCATGAAATTCACGTCGATTTTTAAGTCTCTGCTTTCTAGCTAACCGTTTTCTTTTTATGTCAGACATTAGGCCCTAAACAAATAGATTTTAAAATTGCATTGGCAAATTACATTCGACCTTATTAATTATAAAAATATCAAGCTGCTAACTAACAAAATAAGTACCCATATTTTCCTTATTAAAATCTATACTCTAAAAATAGTTAACAATATGTTAGTTAACAGGTCCTTTTTATTAAGAGTAACATCTTTCTATTAGCAAGAAAATAAACCCTCCGAAAGTTAGACTAGTAAGTAAGGAGAGTAGTTCATTTACAATGTAGAAAGTGTTTAGTTAATATGTATGTAGTTTTGTTCACAGACTTGTCAATAGAACAGTCAACACAGTTTTCATTAGACTAGTCAACAGACTACATGATAAACCAATATCTAGTCAATAGAACAGCCCATAGTTCATTGAATAGTACTTTTGTTTGTTTGTTTGACTTTGAAGTTACTTAACTGTGTTCCACTTAAGATTTATTTGGCCTGTTGTAAAAACATAACGCTACGATAAGTACTGCTAGTTTTACTAGCAAAAGTTACAAATTTGAGTTTTCTTTGTTAAGTTTGATTAAGTTAACACGATTGCACATGGTCAATATGCACCTCAAGGAAAAACTGTAACTCGGTACAGTTATCTGACGTCACACATTGGCCAATGCCCCACCCAGAGCTGAATTACGAATGGAATAGTACTTTTCATAATGTATTTTCTAAAAAATACTAATTTTGAATAAAAAATAATAATTCCCTTTCCCAATTAACTTGTATATAAGCGCGGTAAAATCTTAGCTGCCATCTCCATTTAAAGTATTTAAATAATTCCTCAACCCAAGAAAACTTGTTTAACTATTTCATAAATCAAAGGCAATGTTGTCGTTAAGGCTTTCAGCCTTATAAAACCCTAAAAAACAACTTACATTATTTGTCCCAGATTGTTGAGAACCACCAGCAACCACGTTACTGCCACCTGCATTGGCGGCATTAGAAGAACTCTCCGCACGCTCCATTTTTCTTAATGATCTTTTATTTTTTCGTCTTTCTTTGCGCTTCTGCTTTTTAGCGGAACGATTTCTATTGTTTCTGGACATTAGCAATTAAACAAACAATAAAAAAAAACGTTGCTTTTACAAATTTTATTTATATTTTGAATGCAAAATATTTGAAAGCAATAACAACACTAGATACGTTTTTTATAAAACAATAAATTCCATGGGTATTTGGTAGTATATTCTTTTTACGGGTAATCGTTGTTAAAAACAATAAATAAACAGAGTTGTATTTTGAAATAATAGATGTCAGTACAAGAGCACAAGTTCAATTTTCTTTAATTTTTAATTAATATTGTTATTAGGAAATATTATTTGTTTTAGTTCTCATTAGGAAGAAAATAAATTTATTATTGAAGTTAAAATATGTGAATAGCACCGAGTACTTTTAAAAAGTAATCATAACAAAACAGCTGTTAAATTAAAAATTATTTCAACTGACAACATTCACAATAACAAGAGGTGAGTTTAAATGGTATTGCCATATTAATATTATTTAATTTTAAATCAGAGATGGAAATTCTGTCACATATAGTTTTCTGAAGTTTTTGATATCGAAAAATAAAGCGATAATATATAATGTGATATATAGTTTAGACTATAGTTTGTTTTATAATCTGGTCTCGTCAATAGTCTAGTCTATAGTTTATTCTATAGTCTAGTATATAGTCTAGTCTATAGTATAGTCTTTAGTCTAGTCTATAGTCTAGTCTAGTCTACGGTCTAGTCTATAGTATAGTCTAGTCTATTGTTTAGTCAATAGTCTAGTCTATAGACTAGTCTAGAGTTTAAACTATAGACTAGTCTATGCTTTAGTCTATAGTCTAGTCTATAGTCAAGTCTATAATCTAGTTGATTGTCTAGTCTATAGTTAGTTTATGACATTTTTATCTTCTGGCAACACTCTATTTTATAACAATCCTGTTTTACACCTTTAGCTAAATGGCAAATACATTTTTTTTGTAATGTAGTTGGACATATCAGCGTTAGGGTGAATATTTTTTATACGTGTAATTTGACATTTGATTGTTCAATTTCTAAAGTCAGCTGTTTAGCCGTTAGCGCCTTAAATAAATTCGTCTTGGATTTTGGCAAATAATTTTATCGCAAAAAAAAAAAAAAAAAACAAGAAGAACACAAAAGCAGGACAATTGTTCTTTTATTACTTTTTAACAAGAAATTGACGCACAAAAATATAAACAAATCGCAGAAAAATTAAGAAAACACTTAATACTATCATATAACAAAAATATAGATTTGATTAACATTAAAATACTACGATAAAAAAGGCAACAAGTGGATTTGTGTAGAATTTGTTAAATTTTATATTTTTACAATTTAATAAATTGTGAAATAAATAAAAGCAAGTTACTTAAACGGGTAGGAACAAGTGTGTAATTATTTTTACGTTCTTTTAGTTTGTTACAATTAATTATAATTTGTAAATATATACAAGTTTACAGTGGGTTTTTCAGACGACATTGACGATTTTGACGACGCCATGGATCTGTGGGGGATTTTTATGTTCTTCTTTTTGGCCTTCATCATAATGAGCTGCTGTGGCTACTGCTGTTCCCGTAAGCAACGTGGAGCCGTCTTATCTGGTAAGTGGTTAAATTGATAAAATAAATACTAAGTGAATATGAATATACTTTTTGAAAAAAAAAACTTTAGTGGTTGTATTGGTGTTTTCAGAAGATTAGGAATTCAAATAACGACAATTATGGTTGTGCAAATATAACGTACATTTGTATGTACATATATTTATCCGATGGCTGTGTTAACAATAAATAGCTTGGTAGTTAGCACATTTTTGTTATTAATGTTTAGTCAGCAGTGCCCAGAGATTTGTAGGATCTTGCACAACGTTAAATGAGATGTTTTTTTTTTTATTTATGTTTGTTTTCTTATGAGTCATTTTATAATGAAATTAAGATTTTCTTTGTAAGAACGTGTTAGGAATTTAAAATTGTCCAACAATCATAATTTATATTTTTATGCAAAATCAGCAAGAATTATTTAATTACTGTTAAATACCAAAAGTATTATATTTCAACGAGTAAATTTTCTTCAGCTCTTATGCGCATGTAGAAGGACCTTAAAGTTTAAAAGACATACAATTTCAAATTTATATAAAAAATTTGGTATTAATATCAACTGAAGATGAGAACCTCTGCTTCAAAATAATGTTATATATTTCAATTCATCAGGATTACAAAAGAGATGGAAGCTTAAAGAAAATTTGTTACAAATAAATAATATGAATAAAAGATACAGCTTCCCAGTTTTCATTTGATATCAATATTAGCATCATACAACACATATAAATATTTAAAATATTCGTTTGAAATTGTAAGTTCTTTTATAAGGACTGATTATAAAAATCGGAGTATGAAGAATTGTTCTAAATGGACTGTAGTTTCACATGCAAGTCAGCTTTTCCATTTGTGAAAGCTTTTTTTTTCAAAATTGTTACAGGGTGTAATAAAGTCGATGTTTTATTTAACTTTACATTTATTCAGTCGTTATTCAGGGCACATTGAAAGGGACCGAAACAAATAATAAATCGAGGGATTACATTGAAAACTTGCTCATTTGTTCTATACTTTTCAAATAGGTTTTTACATATACACTACTATAGTGGGGAGGGTTATGCGTTTGTGCTGATGTTTGTAACACCCAAAAATATTGGTCCTATACCCACCTCAAAGTATACCAATCGGCTTAGAATCACTTTCTGAATCGATTTTATATAAAGCATGCTACAGGTCGCAATTTTGCCTAGTCCCCATACAACCGTACCCCCGAATAGGGCTTTTGTTTATTAAGTCTTAATGAAACTGACGATACACAAACTCCACTACACAAAATGACTTGAAGTTCAAAATTCACTTATAAACACTAATAACTTGATTAAATTCTACATAAATATTGCTATCAGTGTAGGACCAAACATTTCCATCGTATGTCTTACATCACTTCACCTAGTGTACGGATCTATCCCAAAAGGTTTTTTTAATCTATTGTTCTTTCAATAAATTTATGAATTTACATACATTTTTATACCCTACACCACTATAGTGAGGTGGGTAATATGCGTTTGTGCAGATGTTTGTAACACCCAAAAATATTGGTAGGTATTTCACAAATCTTAAAGTATACAAATTGGCTCAGCGTCACTTTCTGAGTCGATTTATCAAAGTCCGTCTTTCGGTCAGTCTGTCTGTGTGTTCATGTAAAGCTTGTGCGCACGCTACAGGTAGCATTTTCTTATAATTTCATGAAATTTGCCATAGATTCTTCCATTGACCCTATTGAAAATTGGTAAAATCAGTCCATTATTACGTCAAGTCCACATACAATACATTGTATTTAATTTGCCAACAAATTAAATGCTTTATAATTAAAAAAATAATCTACAAGGTCCCGGATGTACCTTTAGAGATATAGGAAAAGTACTCCATATTTTAAGGAATTTTTCCCCAGATATTCGAATTTTAGATTTTAATTCATATAGGAGTTACCACGGACACTTAATATTCATATTGATATTTCAGTTACCGGTACTAAATTTGAGGATTCTAGGAGTTTTAATATTCCAGATATAAGAATTTTACTATTTAATTCATACGTAAGATGCCGCGCCCACTATTTATGATACCTCAAATTTGTTCCTAAATATTGATATTGATATTTAAGTTGTTCATACGAAATTCGATGACTCTAGATGTTATAATATCCCAGCTATAAGAATTTTACTGTTTAATTCGTATGGTAGATGCCACGCCTACTATTTATGGCACGTCAATTTTTTCCTTAAATATTCATATAGATTCTTTGAAAGGAGGATGTATATACATCAAATCCGAATAAATAAACCTAGGCCTCTATCGGGCCTGTTGTGCGGTCCTTAACCAGTGCCTCAGGTGGGAATCGAACCCACCACCGGTCTACTAGACTAGAACACTAACCACTAACCTACCGGTGTCCATTTATTCTTAAGTTACTCATACAAAATTTGAGGATTCTATCTGATATAGTTTCCCAGGTGTACTTATAGTATTTTATTAATATGAGAAATAACTCGCCCACTAGATCCCGCTCATTTTCCTCTCAATATACATATTGAATCTTAAGTTACTCGTACACAATTTGATGACTCTAGTTATTATGGTTTCATAGTTATAAGAATTTTAGTATTCTATAAATATGGGAGATGTCACGCCCACTCTTGTTAGTCCGCCCATTTTTTCCCCTAAAATGTTTGCAGGAACTTGTAAAGTTTTTTTAGTTTTTCACATGAACTCTAAATTGCCATTAAAGATGAATAATTTTTACTTATAAAACACAATTTGTTTAAAAAAAATTCGGCAATCGTTAAATTTTTATATTTTTATATAAAGTTTATTCTTATCCAATTCAAACAATACATAAATGGAGTTTGCTGTCTTCCTTTCCCCACCTTTAAATGCAGCTAAAATGTGACTTGTTTTATGTATGAAATACAAATAATAAACTAAATAGTAGTAGTACATTTTTATTTAGTATTTATTGTTCACTACACCAAAATAATTTCCATATCTTATCGATAAAAAAGGGATTTGTTAATTAAAATTGGCATTTTATAGTTCAAAAACAAAAATAACATATATTGCATTAGAATCGTTTATAGATAAAAATGATCATTCACACTTCACAACGTTGTGGAGTAAAAGAGACTAAATAAAAAACTAATATTTACTATGAAGAGTGAAATTTACTACAAAACGTAAAACTCCATGACTATGGATCAGTTTACAGTCAAGACTATAGATCAGTCATAAGTCTCGATTACTGATCAGTCTGTAGTCTTTACTATATACATATGTATCAGTCAATACTCTCGACTATAGATTAGTTAATATACAAAACAACAAATCAATCTGTAGTTAAGAATATAGATCAGTCTTTATAGACTATAGACTAGTCTATATTCATGACTATAGAATGGTCTATTGTCAAGACTGTAGACTGGTCTTTTGTCGAACTATAGACTGGTCTAGTGTCAATACTATTGATTGGTCTATTGTCGAAACTATAGACTGGTCTATTGTCAAGACTATACTTAGACTGGTATATTGTCAAGACTTTAGACTGGTCTATTGTAAAGACTATAGACTGGTCTGTTGTAAAGACTATAGACTGGTCTATTGTCAAGACTAGACTGGTCTATTATCAAGACTATAGACTGGTCTATTGTCAATATTATAGATTGGTCTATTATCAACACATAGATTGGTCTATTGTCAAGACTGTAGATTGGTTTATTGTCAAGACTATAGACTGGTCTATTGTCAAGGCTATATACTGGACTATTGTCAAGACTATAGACTGGTCTATTGTCAAGTCTATATATTGGTCTATTGTCTAGACTATAGACTGGTCTATTGTCAAGACTATAGACTGGTCTATTGTCAAGACTATAGACTGGTCTATTGTCAAGACTATAGACTGGTCTATTGTCAAGAGTATAGACTGATCTATTAACAAGATTGTAGACTGATATTAGTCAAGAATATAGACTGGTCTATAGTCAAAACTGTAGACTTGTCTATAATCAAGACTATAGACTATATCAAAAATTTGAACACGATTCCATCTAACATAAGAATATGAACTTTATATTCTTTAAATTCTAACATTTTAACTTTAAGTCACTTTGCATTTTAACATTTAGGCATTTTACTTTTGATAAACAAGTAAACATTTCATTATCAAATATTTTGTATTCATCAAAATATAACTCTATATTTCGTATACATAAATCAATTTAGTTTTACATAAAATTTCAACGACTTCGCAAGTTGTTTCTTATTTATTTAAATTCGCCGAAAAAATTAAAATGATTTATATTTATTTTGATATTTGGTTTCCTATATTTATAATATTATTTTTCATAATTTTAATATCGATATTAATACGTTTACGACGTAGACGTTTGGCAGTGGCAAGAACTACTGTAGTAACCACAAGTAATCAAAGTAAGTTTTATGCTAGTATTTTGTTTTAAATTCAAAAAATTGTTATTCATTCTTAATTTATCGCCTTTTTAGTAATATGTACATAGATATATTTGTAATGTCTTTTTGTACATATATTTTTCTAATAACTTAATCTATTTTATCGCAGTTATCAATATTTATTATTGATTCATTCTTTTTTTACTGCGTTTTCAGTAGCGCTGCCAAAATTTCGCTAATATTTTTATTTATAATAATTTAGTTTATTTTCTATATTCAAGTGCATTATAGGTTTATTCAGTGTTATATTTTTATTTAAATGAAATTATATTTAAATATTATTATTGCATTTATATGCATTGTACTTTTAGCTGTTCTTTTTGTTTTAATTGCTTTATATTTAAGACGTCGAACTTTAAAAATGAAGGAAAATAAGCAACAAAAAGGATGTAATGTGTTCGTTGTAGAAAGTTCCTAAATCATGGCGATGAATTCATGTAATATAATAGTAACATACGATATTATTTACTTATTACCAATGCAATGTGTATTAACTATAGACAGATCAGACAGATCGACTTTAGATCAGTCTGTAGTCTCGACAA